AAAAAAAAAAAAAAAAAAAAAAAAAAAGTGAAGGTGCCATAATCCCTAATGATATAAGATAAGAAAATCCACCACTTGCAACTTAAAAATCAAATGCATACACACGAACCCACGAGGGGGATGGAGGGATGGAGGGACAGAGGGAGTAGACCTGTATGTCCTGAAAATGTCTTCAAACATGATTTCCCCCTCCAAAGCTTCAAAGTTGCATCACTTGAACCTAGACAAGAACATACAAATATCATATAATCAGAGTCTAAGATGAAGTCAATACTTCTGAAATTGCACACGGCAATATATAAGAATAACAAAGTATAATAACTTATATTATGCGAATGAATTTATCATAAGGAAGAAGCAAAGAACAAAGGACTAATACCATAACCTCCCAAGACTTCTAGTCTTAAGTAACCAGACAAAAGAGCCCTCCTTGATTCAAAAGAGCCTCTAACAGAACCAATGAAGAACATCGTTGAGGAAATGGATAGTCTTCTCTTCTCTCTTTTTGGAAGAAAAAAACTCTTTTCTAACCTTCATCCACTGCAATATCCCCTTACAGAGAATCAAAAAAGATTTTTCTCCACCAACCCCAAAGTTCAACACTCATCTACCAAGATCCAAAATGTCTAAGACAAAGCTTTTGCTTTGTATTCTTATCTCGGAAATCCCTGTAATTATATGACCTAACACAAACCAATTAGATGGGACTAAGATGTTTGATGTTTTCTTATTAAAGGCCATCAAAATTGTGTTTCTCGTACTTATTTTGTATATATAATATCTATGATGATACGTAAAGTAAATGGGAGTCCAATGATTCCGAAGCCCTCCAATATGTAGATTGCATCAAAATCATACGGTTTGAAACATAACATAAATGTTGCTCGATCAAGACTCAAAGGGAGAGTGGGGGATAGGCTTATCCAAATTGTAACTCAAATCAAACCACAGTGCATGTTTGCAGTGGTACCTGTAACCAGCTCGCCTGATGGAAGCTTTATAACAGATTGAATTGCAGCATTATGAGCACCCCAAAACTCCACCACTTGGCCATTTCTCCACCGCCTTAGAGTACTGGAGTAAAGAAGCCAATACAAAACGTTTTGTATTATAAGTTACAACGACGCAATGTGAGTGCTCAAAGCAAGAATGTTAGTAAAATGTCACAAACACTAGGCAGCAAGCCTAGTACACCAAAAAGATTTGTGCACCAACGGAAAATTAGCTTCAATTTTGCTGAAAACTTATCCATGCATGAACGTTGCTTCTTTTTAAGGAACAGAAAATGCATTGATAAAATAAAGCACCAACTCAAAGTCAAACCAAGTTACAATAGAGTCTTACAACGCATGGTAGTACTATAACGCATGGTAGTCTTACAACGCAAGTTTATACTCAGAAATTGCCATAATAAAAACAGAAATTGCTATAATAAAAACTAACTTTATTTAAGGATGAATGAAAACACAAAAGAAACGGCCTACAAGAAATATAAATGGCCAAAGCAAAGAGCCCACAAAACAAAAATAAAAGTTGCAATCGTTATTAACTTTTTTCATTCCTTGAAAGATGAAAGAATATACAAATCCATAAAAAATGAAAAAATGAAAAAATGAAAACAAATCAAACAAAAGCAAACAAACTACAAAGACTTGCAATCCAATAAAACATCCCCTAACTGACAAGGTTGCAATAGTTAAGATTAAAATAAATAGATGGAATTATATATAGAGAAGCACACACATAAACATTGTAGGGAACAGCCAAAGAGAGGCATTGAAGTGAATCACACTTCAAAGCCTCCAAGACCCCTCAGCATCCCTAAAAATTCTTCTATTTTTCCCATAGCCCAATACTCCCAATAAACGTGAATAAAGTGGTTATCAAAGAATCTGTCCACTGTTACTAAAAGGAGAACTAATGAGCATCGCCTTCATCATGTCCAATACACTCGAGAATGAGCCCGAACACCAAACGTTCAAGACAAGTCTCAAATGTTCATAGGAAAGTGACACTTCCATAAAACATGATAAAATTCTTATGAGGTGCCCTTTCACCCATGCAACACTTGGTCCTATTACCATAGAGGAAAATCTTTGGGCAAAGTCCACGAAGTTATCCTCCACAAAGCAGCCAATAAAGAAAAACAAACCTTCTTCAGGATCTTTGTTTCTTATGATCCAAAAAAGTTAAACCAAACAATTTTACCTTGCTTTTGGAACAATTAAAGCCTGCTATCAGTGGGTTAGGGTGGATAAATTGACTAACCAAAGTAATAATGAATAGAGTTCCAACAAAGAGAGGTGATCGTGCCATGTTGAGAGTAAAATCACAAGGGCGATTAAGTTTCATTATAAGGCATAGCCCCAAGAACGGTATCTGAAGCAAGCCTGAAAGGATGGATCATGAAGTGAACCCCTATATCATCAAGCAATCGCTAGTGGCCAATTTTCGGAAAGTGACTCTAAGAAAGTAACAATGCTTAAAGACGGCTTTTTAATGAGCTAAGTGCAGTCGCCTTATGTAGGATTATGAGAAAGCAAGAAGCATTAGCACATGCCTTTTCCTAGTGGAGAGGTCATACATCTTGGTTTAATGAAGACGCAAGGTGACTGTGAAACTCATTCAAGCAAATTAAAGCGATGAGCTCACACTAAATTCAAGATGCTTGGCCTAGAAATGAGGCCAGGCTAGATCTTCGGTTCAAGCAAGTTAGCATGGAGTAGAGGCAAACCAAGCAAAGGTTGCCATGAGATGGTAAAACATGGGTAATCCTACATTACAGCTTGCCATTGTTGATGCACGGTCTAAGATTATGACACCACTAATCTTTAAAGTTTCGAACTAATTGAGAGAAAACTCATATTAAAACCCGTTCCATTTTAAAGAAAAGGGGGTGTATGAAAACAACATCCTACCATGCAAGAACCTGAACATTCAAACTCAGTATGTTGCTATAGATTTCATCAAAACTAAGAGAGGAAAAAAAAAACAACCAAATCTTGGAATTCATTTTGCAACACCTGGTAAATTCTACTCCGAAACCCAGTGGAAAAGGCACAGGTAGGAAACTAACTTACCAGTCAACAGAGGATGACACGATGTCACCACTATCCAATGCGATGCCAGTGACTTGCTGCTGATGGCCCTTAAGCGTCTGCACCCTCTCACCCGTTCTCAAGTCCCAAACAATGACGAACGTATCCATGCCACCAGACACAATTCTCCCCTCCGGATACTGCTCATCCGGCGAAATCCAAGCCAAAGGCCCCACAAAACTGGTATGCCCCAGAAAGATTTTCGATTGTTCGTACTTGCGTCCATCCAAATTCCAAAACCTCACAGTTCTGTCCCTCGACGAAGTGGCAATCCCCACATTTCCGCAGACGCAAATTCCACGAACCTAATTATCAAGTTCAGTAAGATTAAGATCAAATCTCGAGCGCAGGATTCGAAAACGACGTTGATATTGCAAGGGGAAGAATGTGGAATCAAAGTAATGAGAAAGCAATCAAGAAATCAGAAAGAAGAAAGAAATTGAGGTCTTACGTCGTCCTCGTGGCCCATAAGCTCGCACCGTAACTTGTAATCATTGGAATTCGTCTCCATAGAAGCCTGAAACGGACGGAGAGGAGGGAGCAGAGGATTGACTTGGTAGAGAAGTAAGGTGTGAGTGAGTCCTGTACAAAGCTCATTTCCCCAATTTATAGAGTTGCCCCGCCCTCGGAGTTCTTTTTTCCTCTATTTTCTTTCTTTTTCTTTCTTTTTCTTTCTTTTTCTTTCTTTTCTTTTTCTCTTCGGGAAAATAATGGACTACAAATGGGCTCTTAATGTAATTACAAGAAAAAAGAATTTACATTTTTAAAAAATAAATCTACAATTATTTGATTTAATAGGATAATGTTTTTATTTTTTTTTTTTTTGTATTAGAGAAGAAAAATGATTCTCTCTCAATTTGTTCACATAAATGTGAAAAAAAAAAATTGTGCACATGATATCGGTTTAGGATGCGCCCAAAAATTATGGATAAAAACAAAAGCTATCATATCGATTTAGTTCCTCCTGGTATCGATATGGCCAAAAATCATGGATTCAAGTAAAAGAAAATGATAACTCTCGATATAGATCTACGTCTTGATATTAGTATATGGATACAGCTCTCATTATACATGAGATCCCACTTCGGATGGAGACGGGAACGAAGCATGGGATTGGGCCTTGAAGGAGGTGAATTGTGAGATCTCACATCGGTGGGAGAGGGGGAACGAAACATTTTTTTATAAGGGTGTGAAAATTTATACGAGTTTTAAAAACTCTGAGGGGAAGCCTGAAAGGGAAAGTCCAAAGAAAACAATATTTGATAGCAGTGAGATTGAGGAGAAAGCCCAAAGACGATAATATCCGCTAGCACTCAACTTCGGTTGTTACATTATGGTTCTCGCAACTATGGTAAAAAAACTTCTCTCTAACATACTCGTTTTAAAAACCTTGAGGGGAAGCTCAAATATGACGATATCTGCTAGCGGTGAGCTTTGATGGTTACATTATGATTTTCGCAAGAGGACAATATTTGATAGCGGTGAACTTAGATTGTTACATTATGGTTCTCGCATCTATGGAAAAAAAAACTTCTTCCTAACATATAGGTTTTAAAAATCTTGAGGGAAGGGAAAGTCTAAATATAACAATATTTTGTAGCGTTGAACTTAGACTATTACATTATGGTTCTCACAATTAAAAACCTTGAGGCGAAGCTCGAAAGGGAAAGCCTAAAGAGGATAATATCTACTAGCCGTGAACTTGGACGTTTACATTATGATTCTCGCAACTATCACAAAAAACTTCTCCGTAACAAACAGACGCGTTTTAAAATTTGTAGACAAGTCCAAAGAGAATAATATCTGTTAGCAGTGAGCTTGTATTGTTACCAGGATGATATCGGCTAGCTGTGAGTTTAGGCTCTTACATTATGGTTCTCACAACTATGGCAAAAATTCCTAGAAGAAATACTAACTCAGTTCCAAATGTCATTCTTCCTTGATGCCACTTCATCCAAACTTGTTTTCGATTCATGAAAAAGGTCACGATTTATGTACAAGGTCCGGTAGTCATTTACGATACAATAAATATGACGTATAAGAAAATATAAATACGAGATTGAGGAGAGTTGGAGAATATAGATAAGAAGATGATAAAAACCCTAAACCCTAATTATGGTTTTAATATTTTTAATCAATGTGAAAAAAAAAACCGATTAAAAAAGTAGGACAGATAAGGAAGAAGAAAGGAAAAGTAGTCGAGATTAAAAGAGAGTACTTTTTAGGTCTAGTTTGAATGGCGCAATGACGTTTATGGGTCACAGCTTCATATATATATAGAAGATGTGTACAATGAAGATTATATGTCTCGGCCTTGATCCACGATAACAAACTAGAAAATCAGGAGATGCAGCTCCAAGAATAGAGGATTCTCTTACTATGTATAGATATAACCTTCTACGTTTAACACCCCCTCAATCTGGACGATGTACTACTTGTTGGGTTTTATGTTCTAAAACTCATCGTTTGTAAACAAAAACATATTTTATTTTCAATAAAGTTATTATTGTTGTTTATTAAGTAAATATTGTTATTGAATAAAGTGAACTTTACGATCATTAATCTAAATACAATAAACTAAGAACACTCTGACTATAGTATGATTACTTGAACTATGTGTAGAGACATAAGAGTTGATCAAGTTCAAGTATATAGTTAAAATGATCTACAGTATAAGAATAAGGCTGAATACCTTATTTTGGGGACACTATGGATGCGGCCCACTTTTGTATATGATATAAACAATGTGAGGTGAAGAAAATTGTACCTTATTTTGGGGATTACTAAAATTGTACATGTGGAGACATGTGAGTGGGGGCGTCCTATGCAATGAGTATTGCATAAGATCAGACCATGAAGAAAATCACTCTCACTTTATAATGTCGTTTACTGTTGAGACTGATTTTCTTTTCATTCGATGACTTAGGTAACTCGATCTTAATCTTGAGCTAACCATGAACTCCTGTTTATTCAGAATTATCCTTAGATTTGCATGGGTGAGAGTAGCTCATGTTCGCCGACTCAATACGCCTCTCATTTCAGAGGTAAGACTGGGTAAATGGCTGGGAACGTGGGGTGCAAGATGGAATTCACTCATACCCACTTTTAGGGATAGAAGAGAGGTAGTTCTCTAAAGTACTAATCCATGTCTTGAATAAGGGGCCCCACCCTCTCATTGCCCTAAAAGGGATTCGGTTTACTGGTTGGACCATAAACCAATTGTTCATTAGAGGATCAGTGAGACGTAAGAAACAAAGAGTAACTTTAGGGGTAAAACGGTAAATTGACCCAACTCTAGTTACGAACAACCTGTGAAGGATCGACTTACTAATCATGGTTATATCAAATGGACAGAAATATATCTATAGTGAGGGAAGTGCAACTACTAGGCTATAGTGGAATGTCTTAGTAGTTAACGAATGTTGGTTAACAAGATTAATGAGTTTAACCAGTTAATCTTGGATCGTTGGAGCCCATGATCTATAGGTCCATTAGGTCCCTCTACTAGTTCATATCGGACTAAACCATAGAACAGTGTGACGAGTGAGTTCGAAGTGTTCGAATTCAAATTAAGGAGAATGCGCTACATATATACGATATATTTAACAGCATCTTTGTTTTATTTACGCATTAAACAAAAAGAGAGAATCTTAGATATTTAAATAAGATTTAAATATCTTAATCAAATATGTCTCGGAATTAATTGAGATTGACATTTGAATTAATATTAAATATTAATTAAATAGTTTAATTAATCATTTAATATTACTTTAATTTGAAATTAATAATAAAATGAAAAAAGTCAAAATGTTGACTTCATTTCATGGAAAAATCCATGTTAGTGAAATTTTGAGGTGTCAAAATTTGGTTTAACCAAACTTCTTGCCAAATAAACCTCACAAATTTGATTGGAATTTTGAGTGTGAAAATTTGGTTAACTCAAGCTGCTTGCCCCATAATCTCAAACATTTGAGTGGAATTTTGAGTGTCAAAATTTGGGGATCTCAAATTTGCATCAACATGCAAATATGACTCTATAAATAGAGTGATCATAATACATGAAAGGGTATTTCTTGGTGAAAAACCTTGAGAAAAACCTCTCACAAACACTCTCTTCATATATACAAAATCCCTCCCAAGTTTAAGTTACTCACCGGATTCCACAATCTCGTTCTAAGGCCGGAGGATAGTGAAGAAGACACTAGTGATGGTTCGAAACCGGTTCGTGAGGAAAAAGGAATTTTAACTACAAAAGGTTAGTATTCAAACTCATTAAGTTTTAATACTTATGAACATGCTAGTTATTTACTATAATTGATGTTCTAAGAATACTCATCTTTATTAGCGGAAATTTTTAAAACTTCAGAATACGTTAAAACATTAGAAAACACTACCGGACTTACATGTTTCAAATATCATGTTAGAGTTCAAAATAAGATAAAACAATGATAAATTAAATAATTTAAATAAATGAAATGCAAACACTCTATCCTAATCAAGACTAGTAATTTTAAATATTCAATGATCCTATGCACGCGCCACAGTCTCTAATCACGATGTCGCCGTCAACCGTATATGGACACCTTGCCTTTACTTGAAAAACAATATGGCACACGGCCAGAAATACTCAGTAAGTGACCCCACTATAGGGGTCATGCTAATGCTCACATGCAATCATGAATTAGGGACCTATCTCTAATCATCTTAAGGTGGTCTCTAGTGTCAGACAAATTGGATGTGTAGTACTTCCCTACACACGACTCACACGTGCGAGTATGAATCCCCAGGGCGCTCACACACCCCCTGGACCCTCTGGTTAAGCTAATCTGTAGCGACGTCTGGAGGTCAGCGGAACTCCATAGTGTCATGTGCCTCATGAGCACCTGTGCGCATTCGCGCTCATCATACGGTGCGCGTCTGCACTCATCATCTCTAGGGGAAGTAGCCCTATGCTTATGAACATACAATATGCATGAGGTCCCTCTAAGTCCAATTATACATCGCTTCTGACACAACTCTCTATTCTCATCTCTTGGTTACACTATACAACACGTGCTCGTGGATATTTACATTAATATCATTTTCATACTCTTAGGGTTGTGTTCTATGTCGATCTAACGACATGATGCAATATGGCAAACAACATCATAAGGGATGTTCAACATGGAAAACATCATCATGTTAATAACATCGTCATGCATACATCATACTCATCATAGAAGCCATTAAGTGCATTAGATATAACATGTATGTCATACATCGAAACATAAATAACGTACATTTAACATACATCACAACACAACGTCATATTCATACATCATCATAATTCAAACAATCTTTAGTCTATCCTATTCCTCGAGAGCCACTCTAAATGTTACAGGAGTTCGCTTCCTATCACACCGTTCGTCATCATTGTTAGTATTTCACATTTTAATTAATAATCCAACTAACAATATGAAATACGACTCTAAAACGACCTCAGTAAAAATCAAATTTCATTTTTTCATTGTTTCTAAATTGTATTGGGTAATAAACTACATGTTATTTAGATCATTCAATTCAAATATGGTTTGTAATAATATTATATTTAATGAGTACGAATTATAATAATTTCTCATATTTTCCATTTCTACATGTTATATAAATATTTTTTTAAAAGTGGACAAATAAATAAAATTCAGACAAGTGATTAGAAAAGTACAACACTGAAGTATAAAATTAATTAGGTGTTAATGAATGTGTGGGTTGGTTTCCTACTAAGCAAATTAATTTATTAAAATAATTTTAATTAATTAGTAATTACTTTAAAATAAAATTAAAAAATGGGAATGAAATAATATTTTGTTCCTAAAAAAATCTAAAATTAACAAAATTTCAATGTTACCCCCGACGCTCTTCTCTCTCTTCTGCAGACGCTGTTGCCCGTGACAACAACGAAGCAAGACGGAAGGAGGGCGGTGGCAAGATCGTAGTTTCAAACTCTCGATTGTCCTTTTCAGTAAATTGATAAAATCAACCTGACACGCAACCAACGCTCCAGAAAATTCAGTGAGTACCGGAGCGCCTATAAATCACCTCTCCAAGAAAAGAATCTGTGACACTGTATCAGTCCAGAAATTTCTTCACCTCGTTTTCTCACTTCACCTGGCTGTGAAGTTCATCGTCAAATCCTGAGGCTGTCAATGCATTTGAGGTAATCCACTTACTTATCGCCATTTTGTTTTTCCCCCATTACGATCAGTTTCTATTTGGTTCCTGAGAAACTGCCGCGAAAATCTAGTGCTCTTTGTCTCATTTCTCAGTTTGCTGAACCTACGTGAACATGCATAAATGTTCGACTGTTTTTTTTTTCTTGCCGATTTTTTCGGTGTTGTGGTGTATTCTGACACGTGGTGATTTGATCGCTCGACTTCTTCCTCGGATTTTTGTGCGAGTAAACAGGATTTGGAATAATTTTTCTTTGGTCGAATCTGATTTATATCCATTGGCTTTGATATTTTATCGTAAATGTATTAAACTTTTGTTCTGTGATTTTTGAGATCATGCACATCTTGTTGTGAATGTATGATTCGATTATATTTGGATTTCTGGATTCGCATTAAGCTGTGTGATCCTATTTTGTTGGCTGTGGACTTGTGATCGATCAAGGAACAAAAGATGAAGATCTTATCTTAGCGAGCACTAGCAAGTAAGATATTTGCTTGTGCCGTTCGTCGTTCATTTGCCTTTATTTGTTCGTCTATACCAAATTTATACGAATCCTATTATTGTATTCTATCGCATCCATTGATTTTGGTCTTTTCTCATAGGAATGTTGCGATAACAGTGTAAGCACTACATGGATGAGTTTATGCTTCAAATCGTGTTATTTTCTCTCTTACTGTAACAATTGTTGGTCGTATTTAAGACAATATGTAAGACAAGTACCAGAAGTGATGAAATAGAGGGAAAATGTGGAATGTTATGGATTTCTTTCTTTTCTGGAACATCGAACCCCATTCTACTAACTAAGTTTCTTCAGTTCTGAAGTTTGTAAGGAACGACGGTAGAGTAAGGTAGGACGAAAGGAGTAAAGAAACTTAAAAACCAAATTATTTTACCTGGAGAAATAACTACGTGTGAATCAAGAAATGCTGTGTGATTCTATCCTCCTTCCCATGGCAGGATTTTAGTCTCTGACAATAAGTGAATTGAGATGAATATTACGAGGAAAAGGGAGTAATTACCTTTGAGGTTGGTGGAATCAACAATGGCACTTAATGCTGCTTCACCAGGCATTAGCTCTGTGGACTGATACGGCATTTATTACTTTCTTTTGTATATTTTCAGTTCTTGATCTTGTATAATCTTTTATATGTACTTTCCATTCTAATTTAATTGTTTAGTTTCATACAGAGCATTTTAGAGGAAATTATCCACAGCTAAATGATTCTATATTAGAACCATATCACTCTCACGAGCCACAACTGTATTCCAACGGGCACTACCTCGCTGAAAAGTGAGAAGTTCAGGTCATACTATTAATTGAGTCGATGAGATATACCTTCATGTCCTAATCACTCTATGTTGCCTTCTTAATCAGGAGACCCACTAATCTCTGGTGATAGTGGGAATACGTTTGTTCTGGATATTGTGAATGATTCAAAGAGGGTATGGAAGTCAAGGATGTTGAAATGAGGGATCGCACCCAAACTCCAGCTAGGCTGTTCAGGGGTCTATTGTGCTTACTGGTGCTTCTTTTAACAGCATTTATGATGTTAGTATTCTATGGTTTTATCAGTGCCATTTTTGTTCGAGTATTCAGCATACATTATAGTCGAAAAGCTACTTCCTTCTTCTTTGGTTCTTGGTTAGCTGTGTGGCCTTTTCTGTTTGAGAAGATTAACAAAACGAAAGTTATTTTTTCTGGAGAAATGGTCCCAGCAAGGGAGCGTGTCTTGATTATTGCAAACCATAGAACAGAAGTTGATTGGATGTACCTGTGGGATCTTGCAATACGAAAAGGACAACTAGGGTACATCAAGTATATACTCAAGAGCAGTTTGATGAAGCTACCAGTATTTGGCTGGGGATTTCACATATTAGAGTTCATCTCTGTGGAAAGGAAATGGGAGGTTGATGAATCAACAATGCGCCAAATGCTTTCAACTTTCAAGGATTACCATGATCCCTTATGGCTTGCCCTTTTCCCTGAAGGCACAGATTTCACGTAATTACTTGCACATCCCAGTTCCATTTTTCTTCCTTGCTTGGAAAAATATTACTATTGCCGTTATGTAATGGTATTTCTGCTTAGTATCTCCACCATTCAAGCCTTGCTTTTCTTGTTTATTCTGATAGAAACTCTCTAATAAGCTTCACGTTACTCTTTTCTGTTTTGTGTAGTGAACAGAAGTGCATTCGAAGTCAAAAGTATGCAGCTGAAAATGGTTTGCCCATCTTGAAAAACCTGTTGCTTCCCAAAACAAAGGGCTTCCATACGTGCGTACAGGATTTGAGGAAATGTCTAGATGCAGGTACTCTCCATCTCTGTCTTTTGCTGCTTAAAATGTTTCTTCCATCTCTTTCCCTAGTTTAGAGCATCGAAGTTGTTGAACTAAACATGGTAGCTAAAATTTAGATACCCCAAAGGAACTGATATGGTGGTATGGTCCGTGGATTGCACCAATAGTTTCAAAAATTGGAAACAAAAGACATCTCACTTGTCAAGTATAGAATCTGAAGAGTTTCATCTTTTGTCATGTAGTTTATGATGTGACCATCGGTTACAAACATCGGTGCCCCTCTTTATTGGACAATGTCTTTGGTTTAGAACCTTCTGAAGTTCATATACACATCCAACGCATTCCTCTAGACAACATTCCAACTACAGAAAATGAAGTTGCCAATTGGCTAATGGACACATTCAGCAATAAGGACCAATTACTTGACAAATTTCATTCTCAAGGTCATTTTCCCCATGAAGGAACTGAAGGGGATCTCTCAACCATGAAGTGTCTTGTTTCCATCACCACTCTACTGGTCCTAACCTCCTTATCTACGTACTTCACCTTTTTTTCATCCATCTGGTTCAAAATCTATGTATTATTCGCCTGTTCCTATCTGGCCTTCGCTACCAGTTTCAACATTCGACCAATGCCAATTTTCCGCCGTAAAAAATTGTCTTGAAACTTGATCGATGGAGCGGATGTGCAGTATTAAAAAATGTATTACAAAACTATATAGACTACGGTTTAAATATGTAATATCAAAGGATGTTATCTTCAATTTTGCAAGTTTTTTGAACATTAGTATTAGTAGACCTCTCTCTCTCTTTACTATATGGAAAAATAATTCTGGCATCATGTGTCGGGGAACTAGTCGGACTTGATCTTGGAGCGAGTTTGATATAGTATATATGTATATCTATATTTATATACATACACATACATACACACTACTTTGAAAGGAAAGGTTGGGTGAAGTACTTTTCGGGAAGAGAAAAGTTAAATAAATGCTTCTTCCAAGCATACTTTTTGAAGGTATTTTTATTATGATTATTTTTTTTCTTTTGTCATGTAGCTAAATATTATAATGCCTCCATAATGATGCCTTTAATTGTTTCAAAGGAATTTTATTTTTCTATACTATCTTTAGAAGTTGTCAGATATATTCTAGCTACTTAATCATTCGAGAAGGTAGGTATTTATGTTTAATCTTCTACTTTCTTGGTTTCAATAAAATAAAATTATACATAAGAGTCTACTACCTCCCAACCCTTAGTTTAATTGCGACCCCTTTAAATTAATTAGATAATTTTCTTTTAAAAAAAATCGAAAGAATTACCATTTTAAAACTTTTTTCTTACATGGTCGGAAAAAAGCCTTCTAAATCTTAAAACCTTGTTAAATAAAGTAGGAACCTTTTTTTACAACAGCTGGTACATTTGATTTAGATGAACCTAAAGAATTGGTAAGAGAATATAAAGATGGTTAAAGGTTTTGATGACTTTAGATACTCTAAAAAAGTAGGTTTGGATATATATATATTTCAGTTTATTACGTATAGTTAGTTTTAGTTTCCTATATATATAGTTTTACAAGTAATTTATGATTATATTTTCCAAATTGAATAATTTGAATAAGCTATAAATAATCAATGGGGCCACAACATATTAATTGAGGTTGTAACGACTATCAATTTCTACTTACCTCTAGTTGCTACATCATCATAACGCAATAATTTTGTGGGAAAATAGGCATTTAACTTTAGAACAAAGCATAAACTTTATTTTAAAACACTATCATAGACTTACGTATTTGAAAACATCTTTAAACTGACACAACGAAATATTAAATGAAATAAATAAGGGTTAACAATAAAACCACCATATTCTAACCTAAGTCTAAGAAAATAAATAAGTACAACTACCTATATATGTGTCATAGTCTTGACTTGCAATGTCTTCATCAGTAGCACATGGATGCATTGTTTTTACTTGAAATAGAAGTAGTACGTGTTTTGAGTATTTTAAAAAATATTTCGTAAGTGATCCTATTATTGGAGTTACAGGTAAACACACACAATTATGGATATGACCTAACATATCAGACTATATTCCTTAAGCAGTTATCCTAAACGGGCTAATTGAATGCGTATTTACTATTCTAAACACGGTCCACACATGCAAGTATGGACAATTGATCTCTGTGAAGCTAACTCGACAATTGTTTTTCAAGCCGGTTTGATTTTCAACTTCAGCTTTCCACTTCTTGAAGGTGACAAACACATTTGACTCGTGTTTCAGGAAATAAACCTATACCTCCTGCTGAAATCATCAATGAAAGTGATGTAGAACTTTGATCCACTAAGTGATGGAACTCGAGAGGGTCCCTAAACGTCTGTATGGACTATTTCCAACCGCACTTCTTCAATTCTCTAGTAGCTTTTGTGAAGCTAATTTGTCTTTGTTTGCCCATAACACAACTCTCACAAAGACTCATATCAACGAATTTCAAGCCTTCTAAAACTCCATTGGCAGCCAACATTTTCATTCCTTTGACATTCATATGTTCAAGACTATTGTGTCATAAACTTGAATTGGAAGCACTCTCTCAGCAACTATGTTTATACACCCTAAAGAAGTGTATAGAGTTCCAGATTTTGTGCCACGTGCTAATACATGGCACCCTTCACAATCTTTCAGGAACTCTTCCCAAACTCTGATGCATAACCTGTGTTATCCAACTAACCAATAGCGATATGGTGGAGTTTGTATGCTTACATTCCCTTCCCTTCAATCTCCAATGTAACCAATAACGATCGGGTGGAGTTTGTATGCTACATCCCCTTCCCTTCAATCTCCAATATTTTATTGTCAGCAAAATACACCTTCTCAAAATTTTTTGATTTAAAATTTCGAAACAATTTCTTACATGGAGATAAGTGAAACGATACACCTGAATCCAAAATTCAGAATTCAGTCGGGCTGTCCACACTAGGAATTAAAGCATCATCTTTGGTTGAATTTACAAAATCATTATCATCTCTAGATTTGCAATTCTACTTTCTCTCTAGTTTTTATATATTCTACAACACCTTCAATAAATTCAATGTTGTCTTCTCCTTGACGACGTTGAATGCCACATTTCTGGACAGTGTCTTCTCCATAGTGTATCCAGCTTCATCCTCGACAGGGGTTCGTGAAGATCTTTCTAGTACAGATAATCTTCAATCCACATCTTTCAAAAACCAAAATCAAATCCATCGAACTTCTCAATTCCAATCTTTGAACTTTTCATCTTTACAGATCGTGGTGAATCTTTGCTTAGCTCTGGTACCAGGATCGCACAACAACACACGATCTAGATAAACACACAGAATAAGAGAGAGAAATATTTGGCTAAAGGTTTATATTGATGACTTCAGATACATGCATACACTGATACAGTAATATAACCGAAAGCATGAAAGTACATTTTCAAAACTACCTAAAGGTATATATGGTTCATAATTTTAGCCGATATAATCACTTACTATATATAACTAACTATCTATCATATATATATCTCTACCCACTTTAATAACAATTTGAATATGCATGCAATGTGAATAACAGGAAAGAACATATACTATGCTTAGCCTAGAATCCAAAAACTTAATAAACAATAACACTTTGAAGCATAAATCTCTAAAACAAAGTTTTCCAATTTTAAAATGAAATAATGTATTGAATTCAGACCAATATTTACCAAAATATGAAATAGTTACATAGGATGTGTTATGATCCTTTGTAAAACCACTGTCCTAGCCCTTCTGATGTCTCTGCTGCAGGTATCAGCCTGTACCCCCAAGTCCTCCAAATTCTTCATGAACTTCCCCAATGTCTTCTTCATCTCCTCCACCCCAAGCTTCACGCCAGCTTCCTCCTCTTCCATCACAAAACCTGCTTTCTCAAACACTGATTCCATCTCCACTCTCAGCTTCTCAATAAGCACTCTTATGTTCTCCATGTCTTTAATGGCTACATATGTTCCCACTTGCATTGAGCTCATCACCTCCTTTTGCCCCTTCAATGCCGCCTCGTAGTTCTTCCATAGCGAGTCGATCCATTTCCCCATCGACCCCACTGGAATCGACGAAGCTGCTGCCATCGCCGCTGCAACCGGTGGAGCAGCCACCGCAGCTGCCACAATTGAGCATATCAACACGGTGGCAAAAGTGGCTACAAAGATTATACTAGACACCTTCCTCCATGTACTCAATGACTTGAGCTTCTTGTCAAGCTTGTTCTTCCTAATTTGCAGTTTCTCAAGCAATCCAATTTGTTGTCTAAAAACAGAGTTGAATATTTGGAAGAACTCATCTGTAAAAGGCTCACCAACAGCCTTGAAATTCTTCAACTCTTGTAGAGTTTTGACATATCCATTTCCACCCTCAAAGTGTTGAATCGCCATTGAAACAAGAAGATGGCTATCACGAGCTCTTTTCAAACACTTCTCTAGCTCAGTACAGAAATCCAAAGACTGCAAACTATTCTCAAAATACTCCTCAACCAATTCAAACAACTCATGATTCTTCCATATATCTTTCTTGCAACCCAAAATTACTTTCACAACTTCTTGATTCATTTCCAACAAACACTCTGTAATTTCTTTAAGAGAATCAAAGGAAAGCGCTCTAACCTCAATGCCAACGGCGATTGTGTTGATGGCTTGATGGGTTCGAGATTGGAGCATGGAATCGAACGATTGTAGATCCGCATCGGCCTTACAAGCCGCCACATACGAACTCAGCTCTGTTTTGTAAGCCCTTTTGGTGATGTGGGCTCCCATAGGTGTTGAATCGAAAGGGGTTTGGAGGGAAATTGAGAGAAATGTTGGAAGATTTCAAAAGGGTTTTGAGAAAAGTGAGAAAGGAAGAAGACCCAGAAAGGGATTGGAGAATGGAAAGCAATTGATAGAGAAATCGATGAAGAAATAGAGGAGGGTTTTGGTTAGATAGGGACGCGGAAACACACAAACTTGTTCAATCCACACGGAAAGTGTTCCTTAGAGCATAACACTTTCAAAAATTTAAAGACTGAGAATTGAGAGGCAAGAAAAGAGATTTTCAAAAGCGAGAGGTAAGGGGAGGCAGAAGCTTATTGTGCTTAAACAAGTAGCCGCAAGCAAAGCAACCAAACCAAGCCAAATGTGGTTATATTATGAGAGAGAGACTCCATTTTTGGGTCCCACAGACTCTTTTCCTAATGCCCGAAAAGAGATTCGATTGGATTCAAAACTATGCTAATTTTATAGGCCCGGTGGCTCTGACAATAATGAGGTCACTATTTTAGTGAATGAAGGGGAGAAGACTAGTGATATTGATTCACAAGAAGATCAGTAAACTCTGAGACAAACAATCGGGGCAAATTTAGCTATCGGACGAGCTAAGACACGAGCAGAGGTTATCAATAGTATATTTTTTTGATTTGTCTAAATAATCAAGTGAAATAAAATACTCTTTCTATGTATTTTATAGGATGTTTTTTTAATAGATACTATGTTGTTTTTAAAAAATATTGTTAAAACAGCGAGTAATAGATTTAAATTATGATATTAAACTTTGGGATACATTTTTATTAATGTTTTTATCTAAATGGTTAATATGTTAATTTTTTTTTTTCGTAAAATAAAGAAATGTGAGCAAAAAAGGAGAAGAACATATTATATGAGGGAAATAAAAGGGTGATGGAAACGGCAGAAGAAAGTGTAATTAATAATTAATTAATTAATTAATTAATTGCCTTTTCTCCTCACGTCAGTATGTGGCGCGTGCTATCCACGCGTTCCCATTCAGTTAAATGCCCTGATTCTCGGGGATGTTAACGTCACCCATCACCTACTCCCTACGTCATCCCAAGCACACGTATATATACACACATATGTGTATACATACATATACATATACATATACATCTATATCTATATATATATATACCAATAAGAGTGCACAAATCGCCCAATCAATTCGAAGATCGTCACAACCAAACACTTAAGAGTATAGAATTTTTAAAAATATAACCCAATTTTTAAAGCTTTATAAAATTAAAGCTATACCCATATAATTAAATTTAAATCTAAATGATTAAGAAGGTTTGTTTGCTCGTTTTTCGATTCAATTTTAATGATATTCCTGATTTCTCTTATTGTAAGACATTGAGTAGGAATTTGAGAGAAATTAGAACAAGTTAGGAGCATTTTTAATGTATAAATAGATCACCAACATGTGTCAGTAGCTATTTGGATTGCTAACGAAAGCCTCCGCTCGAGCTAGCCGTAGCCAAATCATGTTTAAATAATAATATGCTTTAAGTATGGTTTTACCAATTGAAATGCCAAGGAGTAGAATTTATGATAAATTCAACAATTATGATTTACTTATTGGTTTATTATCAGAGTAAAACATGAGTTTAATAGGGTTTAATTGCGTATTATATTATTTGTTGTCATATAATTGTACGATTGTGGTACTATGAGAAGATTATCGGTCCATCCTTAATGTGAGACTTAGTCACTAGTGATGGGACCATATCTATACCTTCTGTCTTAGTATGACGTATATAAATCAATTAGTGCAGTACGTACACTATATGGGTGTGGTTAGAGAGTCTCTGGTTATTCCCTAATTGTGATCTTGTCAAAGCAGGACAAGGGAACACATAGAGTCGACATACACGAGGGTTGCTCCTTCTTGTATTACCTTCACATCGTGAGGCTATCAGAGCTAGGTCGACTACCCTAGTAGTTATCTATCACAGAGAACAAACTCCATGATAAGAGTTGGAAATACGATGACACACACTAAGACTAGAACACAATTATCTAGATACCCTAAATTTAGCTACATCTTAGTCTAGTTAGCAAGTTCTAAAAGACTAGCAAATAAGAGAGAGCTTTGTTCGGCTAATGTAGAAAAGTTAAAAGTTGGCTAGTTGAAATGTTGAAGTAATCAAATATAGAATAGTAGAGCCTAAACGCTAGTCTAGGCAAGTGTAAACATAGTTTTATGGTGTTTGAGTATGAGTAGGAGCTCCTAGAGACTCAATGTTGATTGTACACCAAGCAGTTGATCAATGTGAAAATCAACGATAGATGTTTGATTAAACTTTTAAACTATAACCCAAATAAAAAAGACACAAGACGGACCAAGGCTTTTGGACTTAAAGTTATCCCTTTATAGCTCTTGCTCTAAGACCATCCTTGTCTCCGTTCATCATCTAGTTGTTACTTAAAAAACATGTAAAAACTAGAATGAGTATAAAATATTTAGTAAGCAACCTACTTGCAGACTCTGAATCGTGTACATTATATGCATCACATTCTAAACCATAAAATTATAACCTATGCTTTAGCTCTAAAAGTATAGCCAACCATGTGGGTTGAATCCATGACAAGTAAATAGCCTACTCGGTGACTCTAATCGAATCATAATATCTTGTAGCTAAATACCACATAACTTTATTCATAGACTACCTTAAAACAATTATTAAGTTTTCTAGCTCAGAAAAGTTTCTAAAGGGTTGTTAACCCTTTACTTCTTGCGTTCTCTGGTTCTAACCCTATCAGGGTCCATCAGTTGTTCGCCTACCTACTACATGTACGTTCATGTTTTATAGGTTTTTGTTATTAGAGTTCCACAACTTACACACTCAATCTAGATCAAGAACACGAAAAACAAGAGAGAGAAATGTTGTATCCTTCCGTTAGGGTTTAACATAGCTATCATATTTATCATAATAGACAAATATCTTATATTCATTTATTGTTCTTTTCATTTTCTTTGTAATTTATTTGATTCTATAAATGATAGTAAACAAGAGAATTTCACCACAGATACGATGGTACAAAAAGGTTTCCTTAAAATTTCGTGAGGAGGTGTGTTGGAAACACCATGGAATCATATCATAGTCATTATGTACAATTAAAATTAACGTCAACCAAAGTGATATTAATAAACTTATAATGCATGAAGAAGCAATAGCCTCCGCCTATGCAATATCTTCAAACCCCATTCCAGCTTCCATTGCAAATCCAGTTCACCATCAAACCTACACCCACAGTCACCAACGCAGACAACACCCCAATTCTCATCCTCTTCTTCATATTTGTTTTCGACCGATTTTCCTCGAGGAAGTCCTTGATGATCGCTCTGCTCGGTTTCACAATCGCATTCATCCACTCATTCACCGCCTCTTCTCCGCTCTTCTCGTACACCGCCGTGGCGTCGACCTGGTGTAATTTCCACCCGAGCTCGTCTCGTAGCCGATGAAGTTTTTGAAATTGACATAATGCGAGTTTGCATGTATTGTCCTTAATTTCTTGAATCGCCAATTTAAGTAAATCATCTCTATACAATTGTTCGCCGTTTCTCTCCGCTTTGAAGTACTTATCCAACTCCAGAGCACCGATCGCACGGCGAATTCCACGGCTATAGTCGGCGTTAGGAACGAACATCTCTCGAGCCTCGTCTACCAGCCCTCCTTCCACCATCTTATCGACTCGTTTTGCAATGTACTTATAAAGAACAGGAAGCAAAACAACAATCCAAATAAAGCAACAGTCGAATCTCGAACGGAAATTCGTATTTGGATTCTCAACCAATGCTTCAATATAGTTATTCGATCCTCCGACAATGATTGGAAGATGTCCGCGTCCAACAATCTCGTAAATTGACCCTTCGACAAAGCGACAGAAGTCATCCACCGTCAAATCTGCCTCGGGATCCTCGATTACGCCGAGGAGATGGTGAGGAACGCCGTGGTGTTCGGACGAGTCAGTGATCTTGTTGGTCATTATGTCAAGGCCTTTGTAAAACTGAATCTTGTCGGAGTTGACGATCTCCGACGGGAAGTAAGCGGCCAGGTTGACGGAGAGTTTTGATTTTCCAGAAGCAGTACAGCCCATAACGAACACGACTTTGTGCTTCTTGTCCCCCATGTTCTTCATTCTCCCTTAAATATCAACAAAATAACAAAAATTAATTAATTATTCATACAAAGTATTATCACGTATGCATGGAATTCCTAAAATAAAATGAAAATTATATTAAAAAATATTAGAGAATCAAACAACAACCAACAACCAAGAACAAGAGAGAAACCTTAAATTTGAGACACAACTCGTGAAATAAATCCATAGTAATAAATTCCGCTTTAAATAATAAAACTTTACTCCTTTTTGTTCGTTGGATTATTTGTTTTTTCTCTTAGTAATTACTAAAAAATAATAAATTCCAACCAATTAACACGAGAAATACGGAAATGCACGAAATGTAGATCATTGAATATTTTTCAAAAATACATAAAACCCCGTATTTCATCCAACAAATTTCGACGTTTTGTAACTAAACAAATTTCAACTCATCAACCACTCAATTCAACCTAACTCGGTTAATTCAACCTAACTCGATTAGTGCAATCTACTCTAGATGCAAGCACCCGACTCATTATCTCTAATTTGGCCCAGACTTGAACAAACAAGCCATCAGCTCATGCTCACCCTAGTCACAATCATCTCATGCTCGGCGTAGGCATGAACGTGCACCATATTGCTCAAGCTTGAGCTAAAGCAAGCGCACAACCCAAGCTTCTCCCAAGTCATCTGGTGCATGTGGCTTTGTCAATTGGTTCTCCAAGTCAGAGTTCGTCGTCAACTTAGCTCAGTTGCCTCCTCTGTTTGTGTTTTCGAGTCATTTTTCGGTTTTTCCCTTAGCTTGACTCAGCATAACGATTCTAATTGGTATTTTGAACATTATCCTACCATTTTGAATCGTCTCAGAGCTATTTTGACATAATTGGAAGCGTTTGAGGTCATTAAGACCCCTGGTTAGTCAATCTAAAATTTTTAGAGCCAAGTTAGATCAATAGATTAGATAAAGTTGGTATTTTGATTATGTCTAACTAAGATTTTGATTAGTAATTTCAGCTTAGATAACCTCATTCACATGTTATTGTTGGAATACCTTTGGACTAAGTTGGATGGATAAATGATCACTAAATTCGGATCAAATCACAAATTCAAATGAAATAATTTTTACCTAAAAGTTTGTACTTTTTAGGCTTTCTGTGAGTCCACTAGTAGCAAATATTCTCCTATTTAGAGGGACCTCATGCATGTTGTAGGATTATAATCATGGGGATACTTTCCCTAGAGATGATGAGTGCATACGCGCACAGTATGATAATGAAGGTGTTCATGGGGAGCATGACATTAGGGGTTTCGCTGACCTCCAGACATCGCTACAAATAGCTAGCTTGACCAGAGAGGGTCCAGAGGGTGTGCGAGCCGCCTGGAGATCCACACTCACATGTGTGGGTCGTGTGTCGGAAAGTAATACACATCCATAGTGAGATTGGAGGCCATCCCTAGATAAGATAGAAACAAGTCCCTACAACATATTTGTATGTCATTTTGGATTTAGCCTGGGCCCTATAGTGGGGTCACTTACAAAGATTTTTTCGAAATACTCAGGCTGTGTGCCACATCATTTTTCTCAAGTAAAGGCAAGGCGCCGATGTACGGATGATGGCGGCATCGCGAGTAGAGACTGTGGCACGTGCAGGATAGATGCATATTTAAATTCCTAGTCTTAGGTTAGTATAGGTTGTCTTCATTTCATTATTTTATTTCATATTTGTTTTTATTTTTTAATTCTAGTATTTTGTTTGAAACACGTAAAACCAATAGTGTTTTCTAGAAGATGAAGTTGTTTTATGCGTTTTCGAAATTTATGTTATAAATGATGTTTATTTTAAGAGTTATATTTACACATTAAGAGATGAGAACGAGACGTTAGTAGCAACTCTGAGTATATAGAAATTTAGGGTCGTTACATCCCGAGCCTTGGAACATCATTGGTCTTTGTTTCTCACTCGAGCACGCTTATCAAGAACTAATCTATGAAAATTTTTACCATTGAGACATGTTGATTTTTCCTCCACCCAAGTATTATTGAGACATGAACCCTCCCATGTCCATGTCGAGTCATTTCTACATACCATGCTAGATAACAACAATATATACCAACCTTCGATTCAAGGGATGAGACACAATATAGCACACTCGTGTCACCAGACACTATTCTATTAAACTCATTTCCACATAAAAACGTTCAGGGCACTCATCCTGCAACACTCACACACTATGACAAACATATACTATAAAGTATCTCACCTAAACTATAAAGTCTAGAAGTTTTTGAGAGCTAACACTATGCCTCCAACATATGACTAGAGATTAGAGATGTTTACTAAACATGTCCCATGTTAGAATGTGTTGAGTTTATGTTGTTTTATGTTTAATTTTCTTGTGGAGTTACGTTATAAGTAAAGATTAATATAAAAACAATTTTGTCATTGATATTTTTTTCTTTTAATTTAATTTAACGTGGGTCAACCGTTAAAAATTTGCACACATATAAATTAACGTTTTTTAAAGATAAAATCTAACATGTGGTATAAATTGATCGAGTTACGAGTTACGAATTATATCATATCGCACATCCTAGGCATAAAACACAAATCTCCCAAACTTATAACCATATACATAGGATTCAATACACACAACAAAGGCAAGATAGATAGTAATTAAAATCCACGTAGGTGTGGGTTACTTTATTTAGTTTCCATGTTTGATCTTAGTTTCCACTTCAGTTCTTGGGAGGGCAGTATTCTACAGAAGGATTGCAGGGCTGTGGGAGGCAACTCCTATAACTGTAACGATCGCAATAGGGGTCGTAGGAGTCTTGTGTGCGGGGATTAACCGCTGCTGCATCCAGAAACAAATTTAAGCTTTCACTATATATACTTAACCAAAACTAAAACGGTAGGCTGCACAATATGTAAGAAGTTCACCATTTTTTCCGGCCACCATTAGCTTCCTGGCTGCACCCAACTCTGAGGAGACGAGGAAAAAGAAGAGCAAGAAAGCCAAAAAAACTGAAACCTTCCGACCACTCATTTTAGTTGATATCTCTTATCACTATACTCAACAACAACTATGGTGGGTTTGAGGTGAACTTGAGTGATTGGTTCCTCATCCCAATGTGTTTTTATAGGCCAGGGTTGAGGGACATGTTATTTCTATCGTATACACCTTAACCACCGAAAATTTGAAGTATAGTTCTTAACAACATGGCTCACATGCTTCTACATAGATCAAGTTTTTTGTCGAGATGATTTTCGATCCTTCGTTTGGTCAAAACTGGCTAAAACTACTCAACTAGAGCTTATTGAGTGATATTAGCACTTACTAAACCTTTTTGAAACATCATAACGTTTATCATGGCATGTTGATGCAATTTGGAGCTTATCAAAGCATTACAATGTCTATTAAGACATATCAACTCATACAGTTATTAACCAAAAACTTTCGAGTCTCATCGATACTTCGTGATGTCATCCCGAGCCTTGAAATATCATTGATCTTTGTTGCTCACTCGAGCACGCTTGTCAAGAACTAATCCTATGAGAATTTTTATCATTGAGACATCTCCATTATTTCTCCACCCAAAAATTATTGAGACATGAACCCTCCCATATACATGTCGAGTCATTTCTACAAATCATGCGAGATAACAACAATATATACCAACCTTCGATTCAAGGGACGAGACACAATATTAGCACACTCGTGTCGCTGGACACTATGCTTTGAAACTCATTTTCAAAGGAAGATACTCAAACACTTATCTTACAACACTCACACACACCATGACACACACATGTACTATGAAGTATCCCACCTCGGCCATAGAGTCTAGAAGTTGTGGAGAACTAACACCTATGACCATGGACGTTTACTAAATATGTCATTGTTAGAATGTATTGAGCTTATGTTATAAGTGAAGAAAGCGTCCTAAAGATTAATATAAAAACAATTTTATCAATTTAATTGAATGTGGGTCAATTGTTAAAAAAATTTTGCACATATAAATTAACGTTTTTTAGATAGAAACTGACCGATGGTATAAATTGATCGAGTTACGAATTATATCGCGCATCCTCTGCATAAAACACAAATCTCCCAAACTTATAACCATATAAATAGGATTCAATACACACTACAAAGGTAAGATAGATAGTAATCAAAACCCACGTAGGTGTGGGTTAGTTTATTTAGTTCCCATGGGGTTTGATCTTAGTGTCCACTTCAGTTCTTCGGAGGGCAGTTTTGTGTATAAGGATCGCAAACCGGGGTTAGGCAAGTGTTGCAATCACCATAACAATAGCAATTTTGCATGTCGGGGTTTTGTGTGCCGGGGCTGCTGAAAACGGTGGGGTCTTCATGTATGGTCGCTGCTGCATCCAATAACAAATTTAACCTTTCACTCTCATTCATTTCAAATCTAAATTCCGTTCCTCCATAATTTTAAGAATCATGTTTAAAATTGTTAAGAGGGAATTTCACATTGGCGAATTTAGAGAATGATCATGCGGAATACATCTCCATTAGTATGAAGGGAACTAAAAACAAAGTCACAAGAGCTTTTATTCAAAATAGACAATATCATACTATTGTGAAAACGACAGAATAGGTAAGAACCTCACCATTTTTTTCGGCCACCATTAGCTTCCTGGCTGCAGCCAACTCGGAGGAGACAAGGAGAAAGAAGAAGAAAGCCAAAAAAATCGAACCCTTCCCACCACTCATTTTAGTTGATATCTCTTATCACTATACACAACCACAAGTAAAGTGGGTTTGAGATGAAATTGAGTGATTGGTTTCCATATTCCAATGTGTTTTTATAGCCATGGGAGAGGGACACATTATTTCAATACTATACAAAATTCTATTACTATCTCATAAATATCGAATATCTTCGAGTCTCCGATGTAACCACCAAAAATTTAAAATATATAAAGAAATAATTAAAATAAGAAAGGTTGTGTCACAACAATTATACACTTTCATCCTACTTTGATAATTCGGAACCAGTTGGAGAATACATCTTTTGACAGCTTTAGCTTGACTTTTCAGCTAATCCGGTTTAGTTCTAATACGTTCAAACCCTTTTCTGTCGTTTTTGACTCGTCAGGAAGCAGCGGTTACATTTAAGTTAGTATGACTAATTTGATTATGTTATGCAAATCACGTGAGTCATTTTTCATAGCAGGGTTCTAAGTTATACGATTGTGGGACACCTTGGGTAGAATTAGATTTGGAGCGTAGTAATTTCGGCTTAAATGACTTTACTAATGGTTGGTTGAACAAATTGTATGAAGTATGAACCTCGCATGCTGTGACCCTTCCATGTGTCGTAATTTGTGATTGTTTGACATGTATCATATTATATGTGATGTCATGAGACAATATTTATGTTATACATCTAGTTGTGACTTCTATGTTGTATCTCTATATGTTATGACATGCACACTAGCATGTTCACTTCGGTTTAGGAAAAATTGTTAAGCCACATACAAATTCATGAAAGTTATGTTATGAAAGATACGAGGCATGACATACATCATACGTATATACCATGATTTAAAGTTATGGGAACCTCATGCATTTTGTAAGTTATGTGCATTGGGATACTTTCCCGATTGGTACGGACGTGTATACTATGATATTATGCGTGCTCCTTTCCATTTGGGTTTTTTGAAAATACACGAGCTAAAGGTCATGTCTAATGGTATGTTTATGAGCCTGCCTAGAAATTGCGTGTTTGAAAAAAACAGAGATAAAATTTGATTCAATAAAAGTTACAAATAATTGAAGGTTAAGTCGCCCAACTATCTCCAATTTTCCAATTACCTCATTAATAATGTAATTTTGTTCTTTAGGAAACAACAAAATTAATTGTTTTTTTTTTTTTTTTTTTTTTT